ACGACGGGACCCGGCTTTTTTTTCAATGCAGTTCACCTTGGGAAGGTCGGTCTCCAGGCGCATGCTCTCCGCTACAGCGCGGCCGAGTGTGTGGGCTGGCGGGAGACGCTCCACAACTCGGCGTGCCTCGAAGACGGTGGGTGTGTCCGTAGCATCAGCATCAGCATCAGCAGCAGCAGCAGCAGCAGCAGCAGCAGCAGCAGCNAGCAGCTGAAAGAGGTAGTCTGCGAGAGTGGAACTCCCTCCCCGTGTTTTTTCTGCGGAGGGATTCAGCTCTCTGGTGTCCCCGGCTCGCGGGCGGCCACCGTTTCGCGCGAGCTATTCGCCCTTTCGAGCCCTCATTTTCAGTGCAGATTTCAAAAACAAATTGTGCGACAGGAAGAGGAGCAGCACTCTGACCGACACTCAGGAGGCTTGTAGTCCCAAAAGGGTTAAATCGATCTTGATTGGTACAAGCCAATTCCTCTCTCTTAAATCCGTACTTTCTCTTAAATAAGTGCGTAGCCGCTACTGTACGAGGGTCAATGAGAAGTTGAGCCAACTTGATTGAGACACGTGCGTGTTCAATCGGTCAAGAAACCCACACGATCATGCATATGATCGTCGCCGCGGGGGCACCCACATGATTGCTCGTTTTCTTCTTAGAAAGTGAAGATAACCTCACAGAAAGACAACCCCTTCGAGATAAAACCTCAGTCGAAAGGGATGTGGCGAAGTCTTTTCCAGGGTAGTCCTCGGGAAAATCCCCGACGTTTTTTTCCCGTCATGTAGGTCGGATACGGTACTCCGCGGAATACCGTCATATTCGGCGGTACCGTGAACCGCCGAAGGCGGAACCGTCACAAAACGAAGTACCGTCATCCGTAAAAAAAGTACCGTCATTGTTCAATACCGCCGAAAAAGTACCGTCAAAAATCGAAGTACCGTCATCCGCCAAAGTACCGTCAAAAAACGAAGCACCGTCGACCGTGAGGCATTGCCAGCTGGCATATGTTTTGCACTGTGGACCTGCTGCGGGTAGGAACTTGGATTCGAATTCGCATGTGTACATATTTTTTTTGTTTTTCAGCTGTTTTTTTTTTCTTCTTTTTTTTTTCTTGTTGATGGTTCTATCGGGCTGCTTTGTAACGTTTGGGTAGAACCTTTTTCTTGGTTTTGACTTGGAAGTTGATGGTCGCGCAAGAGAAGAGCGGCCTGCAGCCACACAGACCCCACCCGCGGTCCAAAGAGTGTGTGCGGTCCAGCAGAACCAGAAAGATGGCAGCTGTACAGG